ATTCAATGAACAGGTCGCAATCTCGACACGATTGTATGCGCAGCTGGGGTGGGATATGGGAGTGTAGGGAATGCACGGTGAGATTCTCTGGTGTAGTCCGAGAAGAGACTACTAAAGATCGATATGGGTTCTCGATCATGAGGCATACATTTCTCGGGAGTCAGTCACGCATCATTGTTTGAGTCATCGCTTGGGGCTCTGGAATACTTTGGCACGCCCATAAACCCAGCCAGACCCCGTGGACCGAGAAAAGCACCGCGGACACTGCAGCTTTCTGGGAGGCTTGAGAAGTCGAGAAGTCAGCTGAAATAGCTCAACTAGCTAAGTGGTACATTTCTAGTCATCGTCCATTGCTCCTCTTGGCAGAATACATTTTTTGTTAGTGTTTCAGTCGTCTTCGTCTGTGGTGTTAGGGGGCCGGGATGGTGTGGCATCGGACTTCCTCTGGAAATGTTCCCGTCATCAAGGCAAGAGCGTATTCATGCAACGTCACGCATTTGTCGGGTCAGTCATTTCGCCTTGGGACACGCTTGCTGAACGCTCGGAACCCAAAATAACGGATGAATAGGAAGATGGCATATAACTCATCCATCAATTCGGGACTAGCAATGACAAATTTAGTACAAGAGAACGGAAGATCTCGGTACTTGTGGAAACGAAGCTGTATGACGAATCGAACTGGAATATCCCTGGGATAGGATCGAATGTTCACGAAACGGACCAGGCAGTTCCATGGGCCGACTGGACTCGTGCAGAGTGCCGCTCCAGTGCTCGACCGTCTCATGACATACCCTGTGTATGGGATGACTTAATTCTGTTCTCTTCCTTGGTCGGAAATCTATATAATGGCGCACCTCGAGGCATTCGAGGCCGTCGTCGTACAGACACAGCGCCTCCGCACTCCTCATACGGAGTAGTCATTACTACCTCTCTGATCTAGTAGAGCTCCACCGACATCCATCACCATGCCGTCTCTACCAGACTTCAGCCAACTCAACCGCGCGCTGGACCTAAACCCAGTCAATGCGAACATTCACCTGAGCAGAGCCGGGTCTGACTGGCTCTGGGCGGTGTATTCCGTCATGCTCTTCACGGACCTCCTCTTCATTTTGTGGTCATTCTCTGTAAGTGATGAGCAGCTTGCTATTCGTGATAGTCAGCCTCTGACGGATGTCTCCAGAGACCTCGTGGCCAACGCGTCTTCCACCAATTGCCTATTATTATTTTGACTACGGCCTCCATCGCCTACTTCTCAATGGCTTCCGACCTCGGTGCCACTCCCATCTTGGTTGAGTGGGCTCGTCACGGTGGCGGAACGCGCCAGATCTGGGTAAGTAATTGCAGTAATATCGCAAAGGTTGGCTCTCCTCATATTATCTGTTGTAGTACGTCCGCTACATCATGTGGTTCATCACCGCGCCCTTGCTCCTTCTCGAGCTCCTGCTCGCCACCGGTCTCTCCCTCTCCGAGATCGTCACCGCTTGCTTCATGATCGACGTGACCGTCATCTGCGGCCTCCTCGGCGCGCTCACTCACAGCACCTACAAGTGGGGCTACTACACCATGGGCGTCGCTGCGCTCTTCTACGTCTGGTGGGAGTTCCTCGCGCACGGTGGTCGCTCCACCTTTGCCGCCCCCGTGCAGTCCACCTACATGGCCGGCAGCGGCTGGTTCAGCTTCCTCCTCCTTCTCTACCCCATCTGCTGGGGCTTGAGCGAGGGTGGCAACGTCATCACCGTCACGTCCGAGATGGTCTTCTACGGCATCCTTGACCTGTTCGCCGGCCCGTTCTTCCTCCTCTTCCACCTCTGGCGCCTGCGCGCGGTCGACTACGCTGCGTTTGGCCTGCACAGTGGCAAGCCCACCGACTACTACCGGTTCTCTGGTGACGGTGCGGGTATGAGGGGTACCGGTGCACCGGTGACGGGAGCACCAGTTGCTACCAACGGTGCCACCGCTACCGCGTAGACTGCCTTCCGCTTCCTTGAATGACCCATTATGCTCCCGAAAACATGATTTACGGCCTGTTGATGCTTTGCGACGTCCTTTCCATATTAACCTGCTCGAGTCACTGTATCCGCAAGTCAATCCTGTAAAATGTATTGTATACTAGTTTAGACGTCCTTGTAATACCTCCTGACATCGACAAATAACGTGTAATAATAATTCGTTTGTACATCCAGATGCTAAGACTGTGTACTCCGCTCAGATTGACGTGAGCATTAATGACCAGGCAATGTTAGTGCAAAGACCTTACGTTTGTTCGTTGATTGATATTGAGGGTTGTCAAACGAGAGACGGGTCTGTGCATGAGCTGTGGATGTTCAGATGAATGGGCAAAATGTTCGACGCTCCACTATGCCAGAACTGCAAATATTGAACCGGGAGCTACCAGAATATCTTCCGCTCGTCGCAGAGGAATGTCGGACAACTCTGAGCTGATCCACTAGTAACATATTTACATATATAGTATAAATACCTTACCTGATTGCTTAGCCCGGCGACAAGGCCAGGCAAAAAGTATCTACGCCGCGTATGTGTCCCCGATAAATAAGTCATGTATACAATGAAGCTTTTGTATGACAGATGGAAGTACGTCCTGGGTAGAACAACATCAATGGCACCGGAGCAGCAATAGATCTCATCCGGCACTGCTGGGACTCGAGTCCTCTCCCTAGATGCTGGGGAACCACATATTTCCTAGAGCTCCGGAAGTGAAGGGTATCCTACCCGCTCACCGCTTATTGGCAGCTCAGCCGAGGAATATCCCAACGCTGGGCTTGCGGGAGCTGGGTAGGTGCTGGGATCATCAGGGTTCTGCCGATGATACATCACGATGTCAAAGCATCCGATCTTATGTATTACAAGTGGAAAAACTCACGTAGACCTTCCGCGCGAAAGGGGGCAATGCGGGGGCTGCGGAGAAATGGGCCTGCTCTTTGTCCGTAGAAGGCTTCTCGGGTGAGACTGGCTCCTGTTGTGACCGCCGCCTACGTACGACGGCGAATATTATGATACCAGCTACTGCCGCCGTGCCGAGTACAGCACCCACAACGCCACCTGCGATGGCTCCCTTGCGCGGAGCGCTATGACTGTCACTGCCCGTAGTTGCACTGGCAGATGCACTGCTCATTGACGAAGCGGACGTGTTTGTCGATGAAGCGGACATGGTCGTCGACATTACGGCTGAGGACACCGCGGTCGATGACGCCGTGGAGCTTGTTGACTGACTTGGAGGCGTGGACTCCGGAGCACCTGTCGCCCATGTTAGATCGGACTTACGATGCTTGCTGTTGGAAGCATACCGATGTCATTCTCAGCAGAATTCGCGTCCCAATAATCGTTCTGCCGCTACAAGTGAGTTCACATAATCATGTGGAATATTCATTGCGAGCCACGCACGCTAGCAGGCAAGTATGCCCAGGCTGGGACACTGGTACCGGGAGGTATCGGTTGAGGATATCTATTGTCATATGAATACAAGGGTCAAAAATGACAGGGAAGCCCCCACCCAGTCAAGGAAAAAGTTGAGCAATTGGTCAAGTAGTCGTGCCAGGGAACCAAGCTACACAATATATAAACTCTGCGGTCAGAATGAATGCCTATAAGCTCACCTCGATGGCACGGAACAATTCTGGCAGGCGGAGCAGGCACTCAAGAGGTTATACACCACAAGACTGCATAAGCAAGGGGCTGCCAAAGTTAATAGGGAAGGTGTAAGTGCATAACCACAGATGCCTGAAGGCACAGCAATAGCTGTAATGTGCACGTCAACTATTAGCAGTCTTGGACACAGATGGGCGGCCAACCTGAGGTACTACATGCACTTATCGTATATGAGGCAACTAGACAAGGACTCTGGTGCAAGGAGTTGTATGTCTACAGGAGCGATATGAGTGAGGACTTCCCTTCCTTCAATCGAATATCTGAGGCTGCACGTACCCATTCATACGCCGTGCAAGCAACATTTGACTCTCCCGGATTCGCCGCATTTGTCCTTGTGTCATTCAAGAGCAAGACAATGATCCCGGTAAAGGCCCATGCAGCGATGACTGCCCTGCTTCTGCCAGAAATCATGGCCTGAGAGGCGAATGGGTAGAAGAGCGGGGATGCTAACTAGGGTGGACCAGGCTCTTTCATATTCAGCGGGGCTTCTATACAGCTGAGTTGAGAGTTCTCACCTGATCGCAGCACCCATATGCTCTTTGCTGGAGTTATATATATATATATATATCCAGAGCTTCACCTTCTCACATCTACGTCCTGCTCTGGTAACGGATCAAAGACGGCCAACACCATGCAGTGCCCAGGACGAAGAGCATCGAAGCATAAGAGCTGCGCGCACTAACAACGGTAGTCTTTCCGTGCCACGCCAGCACTACCATCAGCCGTCAGCTCCTTGCTTTGGTAATGGAATGAGTAGTGGCCCGGTACCAGCTTGGCCGTACCAAAGATGGATAGCGCCCATCCATCAGGGCCGCCGAAGCAAGCAGTCACCACATATACCGACCAACTCGCTTTCCTTGACCAGGAATCTTTGAGCACATCATATATAATAAGCCCACGTCATACAGCTTAGTTGAAGGGAACACTTACATCGTTGATATCGAAGCAGAGGTCTCGTCTGGGGTGAACGAGATGCTCCAGTTCATCATGGCAATGTCAATCGCGGTCTTTGGGACCGGACGTCCGGACTTTGTCTATGCGAGGGGCCTTAAGTGGTACCCAAGATGAACGTGGTAAGCCGCAGAGAATCGAGAAAGGGGGGAGTATCGACATTGAATATTTGGTCCGCAGAAGATAGGATAGTAGCAGAACGAAACGGTTCTTACGTCGTAAGAAGCGACCCAAGAAATCGTTAATCCATCTGAGGTTTCAAATTCTGTGGGTACATACGATACTGCAGCATAGCATGTCAATATATGATCAGGACCCAGATCTTCGATCGTTTAAGACGAATGGGCGAAAACAACTGCGTCTCCAGCAGTGACGAGGATGAATGGACACTACCGGAATTGAACCGGTCCCCTCCCGCATTTCATATGTATGCTAAGCGGGCGTGATAAACCAACTACACCAAGTGCCCTTAAACCCTGACTAGCTTATAAGTTATAATATTTGAAATTGCTGAGCATTGAAGTAGATCAGCCCAGAAGATGTGACATGCCTGATCATAACACCAGAAAATGTGCGTCATGGAATAGTGGCAAAGCAGCTTGCGTTAGAAAGCGTCCTCCACTACAAACCGCCCGTTCTCTCTGGCACCCGCTCGAGCCATCGTATCATCTGCTTTCGCTCGCGTCCATAACCCGTCTTCACCGACAAGGAACAGGTTCGACCTGTCCATCGACATCAGCCTCCATCTACCACACAAGCGCGAGTAAGACATACCGCTCATACTCCAGCTTGAAGGACTTGCACGCGCTCAGGAGCACCTTCGACACCGGATAATCGCCGCGCGTGCGGAACAAGGCTTGTTTGCCGGTAGCACGGTGTTCGATCGTGACTAGGAATTTGTCGGTGGAGGCAGAATCGCCTTGGGATTGCTGCGAGGCGCTGGAGTACTCTGGGCACCGGGAGAGGTCAGACGATGACCTATCCGGTATGGTGAGCGTACTTGCCCTGCATGCTTGAGATGGGTTGATAAACTGGGACAGAGCGGGCTTTTTCTTGCTTGATCGTGATGGTGGCTTGACTAGAGTTGTTTGCTATGTCCAATATTGACGTTACATGTGGACATCCGCTACAATGCTGCTCACCGTCTTCCATCGCATGGTCGCTAGGTACTCGGTGCATAGGTGGCTGACCCGCACCACTATCCGAGGCAACGCTTGCAAGAGATTTGATCGGATCGCTTGAGCTACCCTCCGGTTTGTTAGGTTCCCTGTCCTGAAGTAGTTTCCGTCCGATTTCGCCGTCGGTCTGCATCTCTAGCTTGATACGATCACGAGTTGGCGAAGCTGGGCTTTGCTCCCTAGAGTACCTAGGCGGCTCTTCATCGACTGAGTGCATTTTGCCTTTCGTCACAGTACTCAAAGACTTCAAGACCACAAATTCTTCTTTCTCGTCTGCCTCTGAGCTAGAGTCAGATCGCGGCCGGCTGCTGCCTGCCTCATTGTCTACACAGGGCAACAGTAAGGTAGAGTAAGATCCCACATTGCGGCATACATACCTGAAGAGGAAAGCTGCCGCTCTCCATCGTCTATGTCAATCTCAATCGTGGACAGAAGTAGGCGAAGAGCATCCCATGCTCGTTCGTTAATGAAGGCGGGCTTGCCACCGCAGGCGTCGAGATCCTGGGTCTTGAAACCAAGTTTTCCTCTCCGATCGAGGCCAAATATTTGGCGAGCGAGCGTTTCCGTATCCTTTCACGAGTCAAGCAAACTTATCAGCTAGAAAATTCATCGCTCACAGCATATGTACGGGGCAGAGGCACGATTTCTCTCCTGTTCGAATACGACAGTATGACTAGGTCTATACTGGACTTGAGAGAGGGATTTATACAAGCAGAGAACAGCATAGTGGCAAATCTGAGCACCGATGTAATTGAAGCAGCCCTATGAGATCGAAGCAGACAGGCTCCGGTACTGGGGCTCGCATCGCGCGACGCGCGGGAGATTCAGACGCGACTAAACAGTCACGTGACTGACAATATTGTGTCCAAAATAAATAATATCACATGAACTTGTCAAGCGTGAGGAGCGCAATATTCGTCCACGAGAGTACTTAGTCTCCTAACCAAAAGAATAATAATAGTAATAATGCTACAAGTACTATCCGGACGAGCAACAACCAACAAGGGACAAACGCTACAGACATGTAGCCACTAACTTTGAGGAGGATTGGAGTTCCGATTGTTTGTACTGGTATCAGGAGATGTCCCTTCCGGTAGCTTCTTCTTCCTAGGCCTGCCCACAGGATTTTTCTTCACAGGTGTAGGCGCAGGAGCGGGAGCTGGAGTAACCGGAGCAGTCGTGGGTGCAAGGGAGCGACCGTCGGCGTTGCTGTTAGGTGCGGAATGGGGTGCAGTAGCGGATACAGTGCTGGTGGGTGCCATACTGGCGCTTGTGTCTGCAGCTGCAGCAGGCTTCGACTTTTTCTTTGCCGAACTCGAGGCAGGTGGTTTCATGATCTGTCCGAGGGGTCCTATCTTCGTCCGAGACGGTTGGGGCACATCATCAGTTAGCGTGGGTTGTGGAACAGAGTAACCAAGAGAAGGCGCCGCCGTAGTTGTGGCCATGGCAGATAGTCGCTGTTGATAGTAGGGCTTAAGAAGGCCGATCTGCTCTTCCGCGCCGTTTACATCGAGAGGGAGAAGGGGCGGAGGAGGCGGGAAGGGCGGTGGAGGTTCGGCGGGCTTGGCACTACAACACGTGTAAGTAGGATACATTTTCGCAACTGTAGTCGCAGCACGTACGCAGCAGAGCTTCCCTGACCCGCCTTGTTCTTGCCTCTGAGAAGCTTCTTGGGAACAGACAAGCTGGAAAGTCCGAACTCGTCTGCAATTCCTAGCTCCTTCAGGCCCAGGAAGTCATCTCCCAAGGCGTCTGCAAAGTTGCCCCTGCGTATGCGCTTCAGTTGGGTCTGGCGGTCTGGCAAGATACTTGATTACGTACATGACAAATGCACCGTCCTCATTCTCGTCATCCTCATGCGCGAACAATGCATCGTCATCCATGACCTCATCCGCGGCCTACCCATCCGGACTTAGTCGAGCACCGTCGAAGATGAGACGTGCATAACTCACAGCATCGGAGTATGCAGTAGACAACTTCTTCTCCAGCTCGCCCAGCCGACTGCCATAGCGGACGATGTCGTCCTTCACATAACGCTCCAAGTCCTGTATCTTCGTTGTGCCGCTCTCAAACAGAGTGTGCAAGATAATTTCCTGGAGAGACCTCATCAGCCAGCCTGCTAGGCGATGACTAACCTCGCACCTCAGCAGTCATATTTCCGGAATACCGGTCCACCAGAAACCGAAGTGTGCGTCCAACATTCTGGAGATACTCTGACGTGACTCCGGCGAGCACATCGAGAGCGGCCTTGGATGTACCTTGAGTGCAGATCAGTCAGGAATTCTCAGCGATACCGGCTGTCCAACCTTGAAACCCGGCATGCTCTAAGATCTTCGAGCCCATCCAATGCAAACAATCGTCCGCAAGCTCCTCCCCCAGTTCAATACCGCGTCCCGCAGGCCTCCACGGTTTCTCATCCACCGTATCATCAATATCTGCCGCTACAGACGACAAATCTGGGGGCTCGGGTGGCTGCGTACCGCCCTCCTCGTTCTGCGCCTGCTGCTGGCTGTTTAGAGTCGCAAGCTTCGCGTGTGCGTGCCGGACGCGCTTGATAGTGCGGATGTTGTCGTTGATCAGGTTCAGCGTCGAGTTTGGCTTTGGGGCGCCATCCGGTTTCCTCTTCTTTCTCGTCTTCTTCTTTGCTAGGGGGAGGTCTTTGCTTTCTTTCAAAGAGTGTCGCCGATTATCTACGTCAGCGGACTCGGCGCCAGTGAGCGTCGGGAATCCATTTGCTAGGAAAGCAGGTGATTGAACTGCGAGCCACCATAGATCAAGTGCCTCCTTCTCTTGTTCCGAGGGTATATGAGACTGCAATCGTGTCCGTTTCCGAGGACGTGAGTCCGCGCCACCATTACTGTCCTTTGCTATAGCCACGGGCGTTACAGTGAAAGGATCGCAGCACTCACATTTTCCGCTTTTCCCCAACCTCACCATCCACTGTCCACTGGTCACCGGAATGCGGCGGTGAAACTACTCCACTAAGCACTTCCCTCAACTTGTCAATTACATATACATGGTCTCCGTGTTCGAGTTCCTCGTCCAGGTGTTTGAACAGAGCCATACCCTCCGGTGTACGGTCGAGAGTATACGAGTCTGCGAACGGTACCTTCTCTCCGGGCTTACGAGAAGGGATGATAAGCTTGACAGGGGCAGCAGGCGAGGGCTTCTTGGGCGCTGCCATCTGAGGCGGTGACACAGGTGATCGGGGACGGAAGCCATGCGACGTGAAGCCGTTTACTTTGACATTTGATGCACCAAGCGCAGCTGGGATGACGGGTTCAAGTCGCTCTCTGCGGTCGGTGATATTCGCCAGCAACCGCTCAGCTTTGGCTTTCAGCCTTGTGGCGCAACCCCGGATAGGATGGTTCTAGAAACGGTTGGTGATTCGGCATGGTAGCGGACATTGGACGAGCATACCTCGGCCGCGTTATACGTGAGGCAGTTAGACCATATCAAATCCAAGTCATCTTTAAACTCCTTCTTCGATTTGTAAGACTTTTGTTTCACCTTCTTGAGCATGGTTTGGAGGTCCATGGGATTTGGTATGACTGCTGTACGTCAGTCACGGAGGCAGTTCCGAGTACCAGAGAGCGCACCATCGTTATAGTCCGGAGCCTCTGCTCTTGATACGGGCTTCAGAAATGGCTCCGCATCTCGGTTATCCTGGATGGAGGTCAGGGATGCGTGATACGGGCACAAGTGGGTCACTCACCACAGTCACCATCCGCAGGTCATGTAGGAGATCCTCTAAGGCATCATAGAATGGGTCAGAAACCTTTGGATCGTTGATGTTCCGCTACCAAGCTGTCAGCAGGGACGATGGGGCGGAGACCAGCGCGTACTCACGCGGCTCTCCTTGACGGTGGTCAAGAGTAACTTGAGCTCATGTTCCGGAAGCGAGGACTTGAATTTGCTCTCGGTGAGCGTCCTTAGCAAGTTCTATGCAAAGTCAATAAACTTAAACTGGGCATGGCACGGAGACTCACGTTCATGCTCCTTCCGCTACGATGGCACGGAACAAGAGAGCATTTAGAGCGGCGATCGCATTGCTCGGACACTGCCGTACGTACCTTCAGCCACAGCAGGCGAGCGCCTGTGGCAGATCAGTCCCAAGTCAGTTCTGCTGAGCAAGTCCGGTGTGGCAAAAGTGTGGCATGCAATGAACAATGGTGGCAGGTTGCAGCAGGTTGCAGGTTGCGGCCCGGTCGTACCTTGCCGCGTAGGACGACGATTGGGAATTCCATCTCCGCTCCTGCCAAACGTGGTACAACGCGCGATCGAGGCCTTA